TGATATAAGCTGATTTCCACCCCTCTAACAGCTAACTCAACCCATTTTCCCAAGAAAAGGACAATCAGTTTATTACGAGATCGTTGAAAGAAATGCAATAGCTTGTTTTTGCCACTTCTTTGTCCACGATTGCAGACCGTGAGTGAAAACCACTAGCGGGGACTGGAAAGAGTACAGAGTGGGAATTGCGCTCTGCTCGGAAGTGCGCCTTGTTAGTTTGTGACAATTCAACAAAACAGCGATGAGTAACAGTTTATTTATATTTATATTTCTGTTATCCAACGCTAGTTTAGATGAAGAAGTTATCATTTATTCACTGTTTCCCTAGTAAGAAACCAAATAAAAAGACCAAAACCAAATTAAGACAAAACAGTTCAACAACAATTAACAAAGGCAACATTTGGACGTCCCAGATCCGGCAAGAAATCTATCCTAATAGTTTTCATCCATTTCTACAATTTGCCCCTCTCCTGCGCTGATCACGTGCCATATTTCTATACTGTCATAATTAAGTAAAATGATTTAAGAAATGAGCTGCACTGTGGGGGGACGGGGGGACGGTGGTATAGAGTTTCGCCTATACATATCTGAATCCGAATCTAACCCAGGCTATGCAATAGAAATAAAATACCGGAGAACACGAGGAACGAAGAAGGGCTAAGGTTTGAGTAATTCAAGTTATCACTGAACTGATCATAACGAGGTAGGTTTGAAAGGAAAATGATACAGTCAATAGCACTCATAGTTTGAACGATGAAATGTAACTGCTAAGCGTGTGAACCAACAGAGTTTAAGAATAACGTTGACAGCAAACGGCAAAAATTGCTGCTGATTTCGTGTTCTTTTCCTCTCGTCCTTAGAATATTCCCAAACAAAACTTGAAAAATCTCCTATTCACAGTAAATATACACAAAAAATTCTCATTTCAGTGAAACAGTTAATAAAAGAGCAGTACCGTTCATCTCTTGCCATTCGAATGTTGTTTTCGGTAAACGTCCTTCTTTAACATTCATACCTGAAATTTACAGTCAGGGATTACACCAAAAAGATAAAACATTGTGGAAATCGAGCACAGATCGATGAAGCCCCGTGTTGTACTGGGCTACCTTACAGAACAGTTACAAGGTTTACACTGAAAATAATACGGGACCGTAATCTCGGGCTATATAACAATGTCAATTTAGAAATGAGTGTGAACGCAACAAACTGTATCGATCACTGAAACTCNCGTTCGAATGTTGTTTTCGGTAAACGTCATTCTTTAACATTCATACCTGAAATTTACAGTCAGGGATTACACCAAAAAGATAAAACATTGTGGAAATCGAGCACAGATCGATGAAGCCCCCTGTGTTGTACTGGACTATCTTACAGAACACTCACACGGTCTACACTGAAAATAATACGGGAGCGAAATCTCGGGCTATATAACAATGTCAATTAAGAAATGAGTGTCAACGCAACAAACTGTATCGATCACTGAAACTCACAGAGAGCTTAAACGACCAAGAAATATCACCATTTAAACGCATCTTCAAAATTATTTCAGTCTACAACAGGTGCGACGAAACACAATTTCAGCAGTTCGGCTTCGTCACAGTCGCGTCACAGACTTCTGGAGAGCTGCTTTCCTTGGATAACCTCTTTGATTTCTTGCAAGTCAAGAGTCTCGTATTTCAACAGGGCTTCTGCTAAGCGACTGTGTTCCTTGGAGTGCACCTGGAGTATATTCTTCGCTCTCTCGTAAGAATCCTACGATAGAAAAAGCACTCATTAGACTCAAAAATCAACGAACGAATCTCAAAAAGGGTTTTCAACTAAATGTCGTAAAATGAAAACCAAACTAATCACTCTAGCCAATCACAGAAGACACAAACAATCCAGTCAATCAATCAAAACTCGAAGCAAATGTCTGCAGCCGCCGCAAAGCGCGGAAAAACTTGTGTGCTCGAGTCAAGGTTCATTTTGTATACTCGTGATTGGCTTAGAAAGCGGCATGAGTTTTCTGAACCAATCCCAAAACGAGGTTGAGCCGTTATTCAGCGTTATTCAGGCTAACCTGAATCAATCGAACCGGATGGCAGACTCCCCCCTGCCCACCCCCGTCCCCCCCGTAAGCCAAAATAACGCCCAGGTTAGCCTGTTTACTGTCAGCTACAGTATTGATAATTGAAATGGCAACTCGATATATCCTTGAAAAGTCTGCAGTCTGTAGTCTGCAGTCTGCAGTCAGTTTGCAGTCTGTAGTCCGCAGTCTGCATTTTACACAAACCGTAATGCAAATCTTGTTGTACTAAATTGCAGTGCCCGGGGAGCATTGAAACTTCTTTTGATCTTCTGACCTTTTCTGGTCAACTTGCCGGTCTTTTCGGCTGACTAACGCTATACGAGCGTTTATAACTAGCGACTGCTTGCCAGGGTCTTAACTCACCTTGAGAAGTTGTTTGACTTCACTTTCAATCAATGCCTGTAACTCAGGACTCGATTTCTCCACGTCCTTCACTTGAACCATTCCAATCTAAGAGCAGACGAGATTCTTTTACACCAAGGCCAAATAGAAATGATTTGCTCGCATTTTTAATACATTTCTATCAATACTGTAAAAAAAGCTGCTTGTTTGATGAGATCGTTTACTTTTAAGACGTCGTCGGTAAACAAAAAAGAGAGTAAAGACAAGAAATAAAGACCCACACACACATGANCCTGAAATGATTGCCACTGATTACCTCTTGCTTCATTTTGTTGGCAACAGGTTTGAGTTCTTTGCTTTTCTGTACAGTTCTTTTTGATCATTTTTGCTTTGAGCAGATAAGATTGCAGTAACTGTACAAAATAATGTTTCATTCACAGTCTGAATTGCACCATTCAGTACAGAGGGTTTAACCTTGACTGTTTGATTGATGTTATCCCAGACATCTGCTAACAGTATTTTTAGTACCACAATACCATGGAAACAACAACAACAACAACAAAATCTTTATTAAAGTGTCTGGGGGATATTTGGCATTGCTGCTAATTGGGGACACAACATAAAGGAAATATAAATGTGAAAAGAAATAAGTACATGAATGTACTGTACATGGGCAGGAAAGATAAAAATGTTTTCCATTTCTTTTGACATCAATCCAAGACAACCAACCTTTAAGTATTCACTTGTCACAGACTCATCTATGGCATATTTCCGACTCTCGTATCTCTTCACAACATAGTTTGGATCCTCATTAACCAAAGCCTGCAAGATGCATGTATATGACAACAATGACAGTATCAAACCTGTTTGAAATATACTTGAGTCTACATAAACAAAAAAAAGACAGCCTCTGATCAAGAACTAACCCGCAAATACTCTGCTTGTGCCCTGGGATTGTGTTCTTCTGCATTTGCTCTTTCCTCTAACTGCTGTATTCGCCGAACAGAAACTGAATGCAAACCTCTTCTCTGGATTTGAACTAAAGACACACAATCATTTATTTTCCAAAGTTAGGTCTGAAGCTGACATAATTTATATTAACTTTTTCTCAGGACTACATGTACAGTGTAAACTGCTGTTTAACAAAACAGGAAGGACACTGGTGACTTTTTATTATTTCCAGTTTTCTTTCTTTTTTCCGCAACTACATGCGCATATTATACCAGCTAACCAGAAAGATTCTATACTATCTGTATTGATCACTGAATTTCTGTAAATCAAGGAACTGTAAGGAAAACATTTACTGATTTAACACCGCTATTTTCCCCCACTTACATGATGTGTGTAGCCTCGGAAGTTTTGTAAAAGATGACATGAAGATAGATGACTTGAGTCTTGGAGGACTAAAGCTGGGTGGACTTAGACTTGAAAAGCCTGTCAAAGAAAGTTGATGTCAGTAAACAGTGTCCAAAGATTCAGACTATGGGAATGTTTGCTGGTGAATTCTTGACTATCATTTGCGCGAGCCCCAAATGTGAAGACAATGATGAAATGCTCAGTTTGAAGCTACATGTAGATTTCTAACCAAGCAGAAAACAAAGTTTACATGATGTTTGCATCCCGTCAACTTCATTCATGTGCAAGGTTAACCATCTTTGTATACCAAGTGTGTATAACTGTTTAAACCATATATTTGAATATTTTGCATGTAACTGGCAGTCATACATCAGCACATGTCTACATGCAGAAAGACAGACAGACTGACAGACAGACAGACAGACAATCAGATAGACAGACAGACAGATAGACAAACAGACAGACAGATAGCACAAAGATTTGAAACAGAAATCACCAACTCCCAAAATCTTTAAGGTAGGTGTTTAGAAAACATAATATAATCTGTTGTTGACTTTTTTTTTTAATAAAAGGTCAGCTTTACATGTATGCAAACTGTACATACATGTACATGTATATATGAGGACTGTTGAACAGCAGGTCAAATGTTTAGGAACAGTTTGTTAATAGTAAAATATCTTTCCAAAAGGTCTAGATGGCAGCAGACATGTAAAGATTTTAAGGAAAACGACCACTTTTTTAAGTTTAAAAAA